CCAGCGGCTCTCCCTCTTGCGCCCCCTATTGGCAGCCGGTGGAACGGACCCCACCTGTGGGCTGGGGTGGAACTGGCTTGGCTCCCTTCTAGTCAACGTGGTGGGGGGGGGGAGGTTGCTTGTGTGGGCAAGAAGGAGGGAGGGGAGGTCAGTGACTGCTGGCTTGGGGCCCCTTGGCCACAGCTGGGCTCAGTGCTCATTGCTCACTCCTGTGGCCCAGCACATGCATGCTACAGCCCCCCCTCATGTGATAAACCAGGCAATGACCACATGCTGACCACATCCTTAATTTGGGTGGGAGAGGACCAGTGTCCGTTGCTTGTGTGGGCAAGAAGGAGGGAGGGGAGGTCAGTGACTGCTGGCTTGGGGCCCCTTGGCCACAGCTGGGCTCAGTGCTCATTGCTCACTCCTGTGGCCCAGCACATGCATGCTACAGCCCCCCCTCATGTGATAAACCAGGCAATGACCACATGCTGACCACATCCTTAATTTGGGTGGGAGAGGACCAGTGTCCATAGTGGGCAGCTAAAGGGAAGTTCTACAATCTGGCCTGTGAGCAACTGAGAAAATGACAGCAAAAATGGAGGGCTTCATGGGTTGAAACCTGCCCTCTCCCTGCCCTGTGCCTTTGTGTTTGATAGGCTCCAGCCTGCAGCATGCCACTTTGCACAATTCCCTGGAGCCGCAGAAGAGACATGGGAAGCGGATAAATAGAGCATGCTGCTGACAGAGCCTCTGGAATGTGCTTTTATAAGGAGGGAGTTCCTCTGTTTGTTTTTAAGCAGCCATCCCATGCAGGGAACTCCCCTCCTTGCTTCCTACCAGGAGTAGATTTAAGGTGAGCAAGGTCACCTGCATTTTAAGAAAATAAAGAACTGTATGAAAAATACAAGCATGTGTTTACTTTCCAGGGATCATCCTAATGAGTTTTCATGTTGGGTACAAAATTAAACATTTGTATGGCAAGAGTATGACCCTTTTAGAATAATTGTTAGAAGAAAAAAACCACCTGCCTGATCAAATGTTTCTTTTTGTTACAGAACCTTTGATTTCAGGCATCACATAAGGATGGCCCATTACAATACACCCCAGGGAGATAAGTTTGAATTTTTCCACAGTGGTTACACCCATCTTAGGAATCCTTGCTGCTGTCTTTTGTGCTGGTTTACCATATCAGTACTAGACTCTCCCTTGGTGTCTCCAGTTTTGCTAGGGCAGCATTCAGAATTTTGTTTCTCTCCTGACCACTCCCAACTGATGTCCACTTGAGAAACCAGCAATTGAAACTTCCTCTTTTTTTGCTGGTTGATCCCTTGTCGCCCTCTCTTTTTTTCCATCCACTCCTGCTCTGGGCTCTTGCTACACGAGGAAAAAGGCAATGTGGGAACTGGTGAGGAGCCATTTAGAGACGGGAGAAAAGATGTGCAGCATCAAGCAGTGGTGGAAGCAACAGTTGTATGAGTCCCTATCTTCCTTGCATCTGACGAAGTGGGTCTTTGCCCACGAAAGCTTATGCTCCTACACTTTAGTTAGTCTATAAGGTGCCACAGGACTCCTCGTCGCTTTTCCTATCTTCCTTGTGAGTCAAGACAGACAGTGGGAAGCAGAAAAGCTGGAAGGGGCAAAATCCAGTGAGTCATGAGACAGAGGAAAATTGTAGAGTTGTTAGACATTGAGGGAAGGGGAACAGAAAGGGATGGGGCAGAATGAAGTGTCCCAATTCAAGATTACCCCTTCTGAGAAAAAAGAGGGAACTGACGTGGCAGCAAAGGAGGGATTGTTTGCCCTAAGGATGTCAACATATAGTCAAGTTTACAATTAACCCGATAAGCCTAAGCAGAGGCAGATAAGCCTATCAGAAGCAGCACCATGGGGAGGCTGCCGTGAAGCAGCCTCTGTCTGCGATGAACTCAGGCAGCTGCCCCATCCCCTCATCCTCCTTCCCCTGCGCTGCTGCCTCTATCACGGACA